GGATTCCTGTGAAGAGGTGTGCTACGCAGGTTATTGGTCTGCGCATCTGAAATAAAACCTACTGCATATTATATTTGAGTGCGTTTTATTGAAATAATGAACCAATGTGAATTAGTTTCATCTTTTCATCGGTTTGAGAAAGCAAACATAAAAGTATAAAAAAGTATGAATGAAAACGTTTTTCATCAAGATTTTTCTTTTTAGGAAAACGGGGAACAACTTTSTGGAAGAATGGCGGATTTGGCGACGGTGAGTAGACTTATGTAATTTAAGACGGAACCAGAGGGATTTATTAGAAGCAGAGAACAATAGAAGGCCTAGGATCATGTGCATCAATATTGCTTAAAAATCATTTTGGACTTGTTTAGGAATCGTAATGATGATTAAGTTAAATTTAAGTGGTTTAAAGTATTGTTAATTCAAATGAATTAATTTAGCTTCGAAAGTAGAGGGGGGGGGGGGAGGAGAGGGGGGCACGGGCACCCTGTGACACCCTCTAAATATCCCACTGCATGGAATGTATAACTAAATGAGTCTCTTTCATTCTATTGTTTGTTGCTTTAAATTTTTTCAAAAAACTCCGCCTTTTCTTGCAGCTCCTAAACAAGACACTGATTTCGGCGATGCGTTTGGTGAGTTCCATTTTGGTGCCTTGGTTAGAGACCAAAATTTAGACTAAAATAGAGCTTTAAACTTAGTTTCAATAAAGCGTTAAATCGAAAAGCGGTAAATAGGTAAATAAATAATAATAATAATAATAATAATAATAAATGATATAATAGCAAGCAAATTAAAATTTACTTCTTTATATTGACACAATTTCTATTCCAACAGCGAGTGGTATCGCGGGTGCAATTGGCAATGGTCTTTTAGCTGCATTCGGTAAACGACAAAACGTTTAAGTCTAAACGTGTAGTTATGCCGGAAAGACAAGATTTCAACCTGTTGAGTTTTTAACACTTTAATAAACTTTATTGTCTCAATAAAATGTGTACATTCTATTCGTGTGAACATATATGGTGTGAAATGAGGCCATATAACAATTTATCAAAAATTGTAAGTACTGGGGTGTTTTTTTTTAGCACAAACCCGGGTCAATAGACCCTGCGGCTAATACTGAATCAATCTTAACCATTTTCTGTGGAGTCAGCGATCTTAGTTCAGAATGCTCCCATTTMATTAACTTCATAAGTTTTCCTTGTTGTAGTTGTTTTGCCGGATCTTCTTGCAGAAAACAGTGTACTCGTGTTCTCTTAAATTTCCTGCATTTTGTTTTTGATATGGTTTTCCGCTGACCCATAAGAACGATGGCGAAGGGGCGAGCCGTTTTCCGAACGAGCCCCGAAGCGGTGCCGAGAGAAGTCACGTCTCCAACGGTTGCACTCCCACAGAGGAGGTTGGCCACTCCCCCGAAAAGGATTATGSTCCGGACATGAATTTTGACCGTCAGAGTGACAACATCTAAGTCGGCACTGTAAATGGACACTTTATTTCACCAAGGATCATATTGATTGATTCTATTCAGTATTGCTGATGAATCGGAAAACCTTACTACATCGGGTAGATCATTTTAACGATTGAACGTGTGGCACTCCAAAAAACGGGAAATGACGCTCAAGGTCCATTTCAGGATCCATTTCAATAATTTGGCCAAAATGCTCGACAGCTARCGTTTGTCCTTCGAACMGAGAGCTYCAATAGCAGATAAGGTGTTTCGATCGTAATAAATAGCGTTTCGCGCGTATGCTTAAACTCCAACTTCGTCGCAAATTTCGATTCGATTGCACTCAAATTTTCACATATGTATTAGTGATTATCGATAATTCCTATTGATAAATTAATTTTCCAAAAAATCAAAGCTATTTGGATAATCGATGCAAAATAAAAACACCTTCATTTTTCTTTAAAGTTAATTTTCTCGAAAGTCATCGCAGAGATTGTATTAAAATTTTCAGAGTCATTTCTTAATAACATAATTGACATACCGGCGACGAAGTTTGAATGAAATCTTAACCTAAATTTGCGAGATATTTGAGCATTTCAAAATGTTTCTCAAAACGATGAGGCCATGTTTAAAGTCCTTGTTCGTGACAATATTCGAATGTTAAATG